CGAAACGCGTTGTACTTTCGTATTGTTTCTCTATCGATGTCTTATCGTCTTTATTTTCATTAAGTACAACAATCGTCGTATCCTGATCGTCATTGGAAACATCGATCCGAATGGTATCATTCTTATCTTTTATGATTTCCATTAAATCAGATTTCCCATCGATCGGATTATTTTCTTCGTTTAATTTCAACGAAAGATTTAACGATACAGGCTCGTATTTATCAATGACAATATCATTTTGCGTTTGCCTGTTCGACGTAGCCGAAGTTGTAACGGCCGAATAGAAACTCGTTTCTTCAGCAGCCATTTCCGTTGCCAATTCTTCTTTATTATTATTATTATTAGAATCACGATAAGCGGAATTAGATGATTCCTTATGAACTGATTGTCTATTTTTGTTAATCGGTCTACGTCTTACCGAGGACGAGAAAACATTTTCTGGTCTAGCTGTACTATATTTCGTATTGTTTTCATTATCAACTTGTTGCTCTTGTTGTTGTTGTTGTTGAGATCGATTAGGATTATTCGTAGTAGCAGAAATTCTACTACGATAAAGATTACCACTTATCGGTCTTCTCTTAGGAACGAATCTATTGGTCGATCGTTCGGTAGTAGACGACGACGATGATGGATTATGTTCATTTTCTAATTTATTTTCTGATTCATTGGTCGGTGTAACAGTTGTAGTTCTGTAACTCGTTCTAGACATATATTTGTATCTACCAGTAGTATCTCTGTTTCCTGTGTGTTCATTGTTCTGTTGAGATTTCAAATTGGAGAGCCTTTGTTTAGATTGGGTTATCTGATTAGGAGGTTCCACAGTAGTAGAACTGGTGGTAGTAGTAGTAGCAGTGATTTGTGACAATCTGTTTTTATAATCCATTCGACTTTTATAATCTTTAATACTGAATCTCGGTCTGGTTGTATTACCAAATCTCATTGGTCGTATTTTAAGTCTTGACGTAGTCGAAGAAACGTGAGATGGTTGGGTAACAGCAGTTTTAACGATCGAAGTTGTCGTAGATGGTGGCGATGGTGACAGTGATGGTGGTGGTGTAGTAGTTGTACTAGTAATAGTACTAGCGATATTACTTGTTGTTGTTGTTGTTGTTGTTGTTGCTGTTGTTGTTGTCTTACTACTTGTAGTTGCCGTAGGCAACGTCGTTATACCTTTATCGAAATAATATCCATCGGTTTTAACGAACAAATCCTCGAGAGGAATATTCGTGACGACATTTGGATTTGTTCGATGATGATTATGATCGTGAATACGTTGAGAATCCTCGGTGTTATTACTTCTCGTTAATTCAGTTGGGTATTCCGATTGAATAATTTCAGTAGTATAATCTCGATGATCGTCATCCGTATATTGAGAACCAACAGATGTGTAGTCGAAGTATTGGTTGTTGGGTAAGTTCGATGTATATCTGTTATCCTCGACATATTTCTCAGAATGTTGTTCGGTATTACCCTTGTAGGTATTCACAGGAGTCTGAATAATTTCAGTAACGATTTCGGCTTCATAGGGCTCACCGTGGTTAACCCTAACTCGATTACCAGGACGTTTCCGTATGTTCGGTCGTCTCTCGAAATGTGTTTCCTCGTTCGTTTGATAACTCGGCTTGATACGTCTACGTCTATTGGGATCAAGCTGTTGCTGTTGTATATCTTCATACTTTTCATAGTATGCACCTTCAGTTAAAGTAATAGGTTCTTGAGTCGTCGTAGTCGTCGTAGTCGAAGGACGTCTTCTACGTTGACCCGATAATCCTGGCCTACGTGTTCTCGATCTTTGAGTTGTACTTGGGGAACTTGGGAAAGTTACAGATTCCGGTGAAATAGTCGTATGTACGGGTACTTCTTCGACAGGGAAAGTATAAGGTATGAATGTTTCCGGTGATTCAGTAGGTATCTCAGTTGTAATTATATTCTCATAACCTGTAGGACTCGTATTTGTAACGCCAGGTTTCTTTCTTCTATATTGATCACGCGATGGTTTTTGTTGTCTTTGAGATTGCAATTCAGGTTCTTGATAATTAATATATTCCTGTTGTTGATTATTCAATTCCTTTTGATAATTATTCAATTCCTTATGATAATCTGTCTGTTGTTGCTGTTGCTGCAGCTGCTGTTGTTGCTGTTGCTGCAGCTGCTGTTGTTGTTGTTGCTGCAGCTGCTGTTGTTGTTGTTGCTGCAGCTGCTGTTGTTGTTGTTGCTGTTGCTGCTGCTGCTGCTGCTGCTGCTGCTGTTGTTGAACGTATTGCGTTTGATATTCCTGATTTTCAAAGTTCGTCTTCAATGGTACACCATTTGGTTCCGGTTGTTGTTGAATCTAAATAAAAACGAAACGAAATATTACATATCATTTTCTAAACGATATCATTCGAGAACGAAGATATTCAATATTACCTGCGATCCATGTGACTTATTATGCTCTATGAAAGTATTTTGTTCGTTGTAGATGTTAGGCGATTGAGAAGTAACCCTAGGGATTTCGTATTGGGATAATTCGATTGGATAAGGTCTTTCTCTGTTATTATTGATCTTGGAGAATTCAATTTGATCTGTAATATTTTTCTCGATAGAAGAACCACCATTCTCATCTTCCTCCTTTTGTTGTTTAATCAATTTCTGTAATTCCTCTTGATGTTTCTTTAATTCCTCTTGCTGTTGTTTTTGAATTTCGAGTTGTTGCTGACGTTCCTGTTCGGCAAGACGTTGCCTGTCACGTTGTACAAGCTGTTGTTGAATGATAAACTGTTGCTCATTGAAATGTTTCAATGATATACTCTCCGGCGTTTCGTAATTTTGTTGCTGACTTGGTACAACCGAGCTTTGATATTGATGTACTTGAGGGTTAACATAAACCATCTTTGGAACTTGAGGAAGTTGACTAGGTTGTATAATATTGGAAGTGAATTTATTCGGTGGATTTACCCTTGGTAATACCTCGTTTATATCGGATGGATATTTATTTTTTGATAATGGCCAAGATGGTGGTGGAGGAGTTAAATCTTGTTGTTCAGATACATAATAAGTATTGGGTATACCCGAGGTTGATAAAATATCACCATGGTTGTCGTTCTGTTTGATGGTTGCCGTAGTACTATGAGAATTTTTATAATAATCATCGATATCACGTACAACGTCATTCGTATGAACGTATGTCGACGATTGATCTTGAACCGGAGGTGCTATAGTAGTAGACGATGTACCGATCGTAGAAGTGGAATAAACTTCGGGTGGTAATAATGTGTCATAGGGTACAGACGGTCTAAAATTGTATTCGTTATATATCGAGGACGGTGTCACGTAGCTAACTTCATGACTCTCGTGTACAAGATAAGCCGGATCTCTTTCGTATGATGTTTTATAATGATTTATAGGATGATTCACTTGGGTATAAAAATTACCATTAGACGTATGTATTTGTGGCTGATATCTGTCATAATTAGGACGACGTTTTTGTTCGACGATCCTATCGTCTTTAACAAAATCGACGTTTACATCGGTACCAGGTGGTTGAAGATATGGTTTGGCATTGCCAGATATTTTTAAAGATTCGAATGGTTTAGCTTGGTGTCGTGGTGGTTGAAGAAGTTGAGGTACACCAGGATAACCATTGTAATAGGACGTTGGTGGTCTATTTTTCGATGGGGTTGGCGGAACTGGATTAGTAGTTGATGTGTATCCCTTGATAAAATAAGTGGCAGCTCTTACTGCATCGGGTACAATTTGATGTGCCTGTGGTGGTACGTATGCCGGTTGTCTTAAGAAATCGTTAACGATTGAATAACTATTATCTCTGATAACTTTGCGAGGTGGTTCAGAATGTTCAAAACGATATGCGTCCTTGGGCGGTGGTATCAAAAAAGTATAATCCCTTGTTTCACTGGCAACGTATTTGTTAACGTTATTACCGTGGCCCTGTTGTGAAACTTTTTGTCCTTCACCGCGTGCTTTAGCCGCGGCATTACCAAAAACTGTGAAACTACCGAGTATAGTAGGTGGACTGTAATCCTGATTCGACGTAGAACCCTGCTTGTTCTTGTTCCTTTGAGGTTTCAGTTTTTCCGACTTGATCATGTGCTCTTGAAGTTTACCTAATACAGGATGAGGATGAGGAAGAGGCTGCTGTGCGTTTCTCTCGAGATGATTAGCCGGCTTTACGTTAGTACCAATCGTTTCTTCGTATCCGTTTGCCAGTGGTCTCCATCCATTGGCGATCATTGATGATCGTGTTGGTGACTGGAAAAAAAAAAAAAAAAAAAAAAAAAAAAAAAATAGAAAAAAGATAGAAAAAAAACGAAGAAAAATAGAAAAAATAACATTGATTTCTTTTTTTTATTTTTTTTTTCTCGATTATAAATACGTCGATTTTGAAAAGTTTCACCGTTTAGAGAAAATGATAGTGCTCTAATAACGGATACTTTTACTTCCATGTTGAAAATGAACTGTGATAGTTCTGTCGAATCTGACGTAATGAGAAATTATTAAATATGATCGATAAAAATAAATTATGTAGAGAATTATGGTATTTGAGAAATGAAAATGAATGAAGAGATCAAAGTATACACACATGTATATATATATATATATATATATATATATATATATATATTCGCTTTCACAATAATTTAATATATAACAATGTACTTACAGTTTTAACATCAGAACGGTCTATGGACACGGTAATCGCCCCGACCGTGGTCAACAGCCATGTTGCAAGGACATCTAGGATACAAACAAAAAAAAAATATATATATATATATAATCATTTTATCTTAATTATTTCTATTTCGTATGTAATAGGATCATTTGATCGCATTTATAAAAACTAATTTCAAACAATAAACCACTAATTGTATAAAATCATCAAATTTTTAATGGTATATATATATATATATATATATATATATATATATATATGTATGTACTTACAATTTGATATCCGTTTCAACGACATCGTGGCAGACCATGAGATCATTTATTCGAGAATTCTGTAATATAAAACGATAAATAGACGATTATCTGTGTTAAGATTACTTTTAAGTGGACGATTAATCGAAAGTTTGAAAAGTCAGGGTTCTCTAATGGAAAGTATATCGTCGAAAGCGGAACAGGAGGATTAAGAGGAATGAAAGAAAGAGAGAGAGAGAGAGAGAGAGAGAGAGGGAGAGAGAAAAGGTAGATCGAAGGAGTTTAGTATGTACCTAGATCCTTTATGATACTAGAAGAGGAGTATATTTTTCTTTAGAATTATGATACAGGGAGAAAGGAAATATAGAAAGCGCCGGACATCTATCATCATTTTTAGGATCGTTTCCGCAGCGCGGTTTCTCGTTTCTATGTTATATATGTACGTACGTACGTACGTATATGTATAAATCGAAGTAATAACGAAATTCAGAAAGTAGAAAGAATTTTAACCTTTTTTCTTTTTTTTTTTTTCTTCTTCATGAAAAAGAAATAAAATGATGTTGGTCAACTTTTTTTCGCGATTTGTACAATGAAGAAAAACGAAAAAATTTCGACGTAAATCGAGTTATTATAAGCGAGTGAAAAAAGAAAAAGAAAAAAATAAAAAAAAGAGAAAATAAAAAGAAAAAGATGTGAATTAATTGATTAAGAAAAATCAATATTAAAATGAAAAGAAAGAAAGAAGAAAAACCAAACCAAGGACAAACGAAGAGAGAAGAAAAAAAAGGAAATAAGAAGAAAGAATGAATCGATTGAAAATAAATTTTTATTATTCTCTCGATCATCTTCGATATCAATTGTCCTTTGTATTGGAACGATCTTTTTTTTTCCTTCTTTTTTTTTCTTTTTCTTCTTTTACAGAGTTTTAATCATAGAGAATGATCATCATCGGAAGATCGTGATATTCGAATTCATGCATTGAAGCGTATTAATATCATTACTATAAATTATCTTGTTCGTCCTTTATGCGAATTAGTTTATGTGTATCATTACATGTCAGTTATCATTCCGAACGACGACGCATATCCACAATCGTTTGATTCGCTGGCGAAAGGAAATCGTGCTGCATGATACGAGAAATGTCACTTTTGTTACAAAAGTTTTATAAAGGGAAAGTTTATATTCATTGTTTTCGACGATTTTCTTTTTCTTTCGAATAGATTAAATATAGAGAAATGATTTTATTTTTTAACGATTAAAAATTCAATACAATAATCGATTCAATAATTTAAGTTAAATAAATGATTTAAAAAAAAAAAAAAAAATAAATAAATAGAGAACATTAACTGGTTGAATATTAATTGATTGAATTAAAAAGAAAAAAAATAATATCAATAATATTATACGTATAATATGAATAAAATAAAAATTGTTTAAGAACGAATAGGTTATAAGATGAAGGATTGAGAAAAAGAAAAAAAAAAGGGAAGAACGAAATAAAAGAAATAAAATAGAACATAAAACAGATTGAGGTGGATTAAAAATGTCGGAATAAAAAAATAAAATGTGAGATAATTAATAAAACGAAAGGAAAACATTTTTTTTTTTTTTTTTTTTTTTTTCTTTTTTTTTTTTTTTTTTTGTAAAAAATGCAATGATGAGAATAAAGGATGAAAAAATAAAAAAATAAAATAAACGAAATCAAGAATTAAATAGTTAAAATAAATGATAAGGTGAGTGAATGATAAAGATGTTTAATAGAAAATGATGAAGGAGAAATAAAATGATAAAGTAATAATAATAATAATTATTATTATTATTATAAAAGTTGTAGAATTAAAGGGGTTTTAATATTTTACTTTAGGAACGTAAAACGTAGAAGGAAGAAGAAGAGGAAGAAGGAAAAGATCTTTCCTTTCTCGTAGTTTATTTATTTTTATTTTTTAAAAGGAACGTCGCTCTAGACATGAAGAATGACCACATTCAGACTGATCTACGACTTGAGCACATCTGCGAGGCGAAGCTACAATATGTCATTTTTTCCTGATAAATAGTTCTAGAGTAACGTTGGGAAACGCGACTTTTTGGAAACATATGTATTTTTCTTCTTCTTCTTCTTCTTCTTCTTCTTTCTTTCTTTCTTTCATGTTACTTCTATTTGTCTTCTTTTTTTCTTTTTTTTTTTTTTTCAAATTCAACTACATACACAATAAATACAGTAAACGTTCGGACAGTTTACTATTTATAACTCTATCATTATTCGACGAATGCTTTTACGTATATTGTGCTTTCATTGTAAAAGAATATTTTAAAGTCGCCGGACATCTTTATTATTTAATATTTTTTTTTTTTTTTTTTTTTTTTTTCAATCACACGTTCGATTACGTTTTCGTGTATTTTCTTTATCATCTCTTTGTTCTTGTATTTCTTTTCTTTTCTATTCTTTTTTCTTCCGTCCTCTTTCTGTCCTTCCTTTAAGAACGATAAACGTGAGTATATATATATATATATATATATATATCGTACGTTATTAGAAATTCCACGTAGAATTTTTGTGAAATATTATTTCTCTTATTTTTCTTTTCTTTTTATTTATTTATTTATTTATTTATTGTTTTTTTTTCTTCTCTTCTTTACCTCTTCGTCCGTTTAGCTCTCTTCGTAAACCTACCCCTCTCGTTAAAGTTTCAATTTTCGATTCTCAAAAGCACGGAGTTTCGTGCTTTTAAGAAATAAAGAGAAAGAGAAGGGAAGTGAAGAGAAGTAAGAACAAAAAAAAAGGGAAGGAAGATTAGAGTAGAATAAAATATGCGCATTTCTAAGATTATTATACTTTTAACGACGGTGGCGCCGTCGTTTATATGTGGGGCGCAAAATCGACAGAAAATCAATATGGCCGAGCGCATTCAAATTTCAACTCGGTATCCCGTACAAGTTAATTATTTAAAAGCGTGCATCCCTATGGACATCGAGATCTATTTCTCTCTCTCTCTCTCTCTCTCTCTCTCTCTCTCTCTCTCTCTCTCTCTCTCTCTCTCTCTTTAAATCTCCCTCTTTTTCGTATAGCACTCGAACGATAAATCCTTCTGTTTCGAGCGTTGCTATTGCGATTTAACGTGGCGAAAAAAATATTTGAAGATTACGCGAGAGTAGTAGAAATAAAAAGAAAAGGGGGAAAAAAAAATGAAAAATATCAGAATGACGTTTACTCCGAGAATTTTAATATCGAAATTTCCAAAGTAAAATTACGACAATATTTTTTTCCTTTTGAAAATCTTCAAGATACGTTTGTCCCACAATAAAATATTTTCGTATTGTTATTTTCAATTAAGATCGAACTTTTCAAGGAAATTATATCCAAGTACACGATGTAATAATCATTGAGAAAAAAGAAAAAAAAAGAAAGAAAAGAAAAAAGAAGGAAAAGAAATAAAATCGTATCTCTTCGAAAAATAATGAAATAATATTCTGTACGAAAGAAATAGAACGTCTCTAATAAAATTAACTTAGTATTAACAAAATTACAAGTATGATATAATAATAATAATAATAATAATAATAATAATAATAATAATAATAATAATAATAATAATAATAATAATTAAAAAATAACAGATTGTTTATGCAGAATAAATAAATAAAACTTATTACATTGTACGAATTATTATTAAAATCGTGTTTGAATTGGTTTTTTTTTTTATTTTTTTCTCATACTTTTACGTTTCCCGATGGTTTTGGATCGAGGAAGAAATAGAAAGAAAGATTAAACAAATAGAGAGAGAAGAAAAGAAAAGAAAAGAAGAAAGAAAAGCTAACAATATGTATGAAAAGAAAAACAAAAAACAAAACAAAAAGAAAACAGGAAAAAGAAGAAGAAGAAGAAGAAGAAGAAGAAGAAGAAGAAGAAGAAGAAGTAGAAAAAAGAAAAAAAAAAGAAAAAAAGATGAAAGAAATTCATAACTCCATGCGAGATATTCTCTCGATATGAATAAAGTGAAAGCATCGTGTTCGCGTATCTTAAATTTTACGCGTAATGGACATGAGAATTTCATTAACCGCGAACATTATAAGCGTGTACTTTCGAAAGCTCATGAGTAAACGAGTTTAGGAATCTCTCGTTCAACTTTTCGCTTCTAATGATTTTTTTTTTTCTTTTTTTCTTTCTTTCTTATTCGTCGCAACGACATTAAAACGAGACCACATGTGAAAAGAGAAAGAGAAAGAGAAAGAGAAAGAGAAAGAATAAAGATAAGGTGAATGAGGAGGTTAGAGGGAGGTAGGGAGAGAAGGGGGGAAAGAGGAGATAGAAATCAAAAAATGGAAAATGTGAGAAATAAGTCTCTTATCGACGACGTAATAGGCCAAGCATAGTGGTAATAACGAGTTCTATTGAAAAATTTTATAATCTACCTCTCACCGGAGTCTCTCACATTTCCTTGTAGAATTATACCACCTCGTTTAAATGTTCTACGTCCTTGTCTCTTTCTATATACTTGTTCATGGGTCTTTTCTCTCTCTCTCTCTCTCTCTCTCTCTCTCTCTCTCTCTCTCTCTCTTGCGCACACACACACACACAGACACAAATACCTGTAGACCATACACATATATGTATATACAGATATATATATATATATATATATACACATACAGACACATGTATATATATATATATATATATAGATAGGCAGACAAATACATGGTCGAACAAATCGCATAATTTGCTTAATGTATTCTTGTCCTAATCTCTCGTCTGGATAAGACCACGTAATCGCTGTGAAATGTTATTAGATTAGAATTAGGCCCTGGTAGGTAATTATACACACACACACACATATATATATATATATGTATATAAGTATATATGTATGTAGTTGGAAAAGTAAATCCAGTTTCATTTAGTGAATGCTTTAGCATTTAGGTTTACATCGAAAGATTGAAATCTTTGAAATCTTTCGAGCATAGTTAAATTAAGTTAATATAATCAAACTGAAATTTTCGGTCAGTAATTATTAGATAATCTTCTTCTTATTATTATTATTCTTCTTTTATCTCCCTCTAATGGATTATTTCTCGATACGAA